CGCTGTCCTCTATTTTGTAACTTTTCTTGCCCCCTCTCCCCCTCTCCCTTTTCCTCTGCTACCTCCTCCCCAACCGCACCCCATCCCCACCATTCTCGTTCCTTATGTGCGCTTCTGATGAAGTGAAAAAATGACAATTAATAGAACGACCGGTCATTATTGCTGCATCTGGACTGAAAGTTGCCCGAATACGGCTATAAGGACGGGGCGTTCTGAAAGTTGCCCGAATACGGCCATAAGGACGGGTCATTATTGCTGCATCTGGACTGAAAGTTGCCCGAATACGGCTATTCGGGTGAAGACGGTAGGAGCGCGTTGGCTGAAAAGAGGAAGTGGGAGACGGAAGGGGAAAAATACGTCCTGGAACTTTCCATTTTGGGAGTGTCCTTTTGTTATCTTTGCGCACACTAAGTTCGAAGCTCACGAAGCTCTACAGTCTTCCCCCGAATACAACGCACGGTCATTATAGCCGAATTTGGTCCATCTTTCAGTCTAAATTCAGCTATAATGACCGTACGTTGTATTCGGGGGAAGACTGTAGGCCTCGCTCCACTCAACGTTCTAGTTGTATTTGCATTTCATACTGATCCAGATACATTCGGACTGACCGAACTTCTTTTTTTTATGTATAGGAAGCAAATAGACATCCAGATACATTTTCAGTGTTTTGTAATTCAGCGAGGCCCTATGTATTTCTTTCTTTCGTCGTCGTGTTCGTAAGGAAGCTCGTTGGCCATTGCTTTCTTCTTCTTCGTCTTGTTTGTTTTTGATCTTTTCCGGACGGGGTCTCTCATGATGGAGGAGGAGGAGGAGGAGGAGGAGGAGGAGGACAAGGAAAGCTATGGACAAGACGACATGCTTCTTCTTTTTTTCTTTTTTTTCCCCCGGAAATACACATGTTTTTGGACAAGAGGACAGAGAATGAAACAAGACATTACCTCGTGTGCACTGAACTCAGGACGTGCATATAGCTTAGCTTCAAAAAAAAGAAAAACGAGAAAAGGTCGGGAGGACGGGTGAAAAAAAAAACGGTGGAGGAGGAGGAGAGGGGCTCGTTCTTGTGTGTGGTTGGTCATGACTCATGAGAATATTCTTTCTATTTAAAAGAGTAGCCTACACACCTAAAAAAAAAAAAAAAAGAAGAAAATGAAAAAGAGTCTTTGAAAATGTAAAACATTTCACGATAGGCCAAAAAATGCGCGTATAGCGAGGGTGTGTGAGCCACCAGTTCTTCTGCTCAATCCCACGTGTTTGGACCCCCCACAGTCTAGATCGCTTGCACCAGAATATAGGGGTTTATTAGGAATATTCATTCTATATGTATAATATGTATGTATATATAGTCAAGCAGAGTTGCCCGGTAAACCGTAGGCAGAGGGAGAAGAGAGGACGACAAACGAGGGGCTGTGAGAAAATGTTTCGTCGGAGTTTTAACCTGTCATCCACGTGGCCGGCCTTGAGGTGATGAACAGGTGGAGCTGTCCTTCCTTACTTCTTTCCTTCTTTGTTTTGTTTTTTTTCGCCTTTGCGCCCCCATCTCTCCCTGATGTGGAATGGCATCTGTATATTGCGGGCCCTCTGTTGTGGTTCCGTTTCTTTACTCTTGATTATATGGATTGTTGTGTTCGTATCATTGCCCTCTTTTCTGTTATCATCGGTCACCACTGGAAAGAAGACGACGACGAAGAAGAATTGAATTGAATTGAAACAGCGAGGCCAATCGCTATGCGTCCATGTCTCAGTGATGTTCATTGAAGCACCTACACGGACTATCTGCTCAACGCGCACATTAAAAGAAGAAGAGGAAGTAGAAGAAGAAGAAGGGGAAGAAGGGTTCGTATCATTGCCCTCTTTCCTGTTATCGTCGGTCACCACTGGAAAGCCGGGTCTGATCTGGCGCGGTCGGCGCATGCTGTCGGTAAGAACCCGGCAGCGATGTGCCAGAGCCAGCTGTCGGTAAGAACCCGGCAGATTAGCATCAACACGACGTCGAGAGGGGGTAGGTGAAGAAGACGAATAAGAAGAAAACGAAAAAGGATGAAGAAGAAGAAGTAGAAGAAGAAGAAGAAGAATAGTGGAAACAGTGGCCAAACTGCCTTTCGTACACGCTTCGAATGCTCGTCAATACAGAACAGCGCATACTCATCTCAGCACACGACGCGTTTCGGTTGCGCTCCGATCATCTTCAGGGGGCTAACCACACACCCTCGCCTTGCGGCCCACCAGCCAATCCTTCCTTCTGAGAACTGAGGGCCGATCAGGCCTTGCCCTCCTATATACTGAATGCCAAGTTGGACGCTTCGTCAGCACGGCACTTCCGCCCCTAACGGGCACTTCCACGAGCTACTACGGCTACGGCTGGACGGCCACCGCGACGTCTGGGCCTGCAGGCCAGCTTTCCCCGTATGTTCACGTGTCGGGGTACCGTACGATGACTAACGTCTCTCTCCAACGATCACGTCTCTCTTTCAATCTTCCTTTCAATAATAGATGATCTCTCATTGGTCCACACTTTTCTCCGCTCTAACTCCTCATTGGGCTAACTCGTGCGTCGCGGATCCCTCCCTATTAATCTAGTACGTGGCACTCTGGTCCGGTCAGTTACACGTGTGTACGCGCGTGACTGTATTTTCAAAAACCCGACAACCGTGACCTGTACAATTTCAAAATCCGAGACTCGTATTTCCCGCTCTATCGGCCGTGCGGGTAGTACCGTACCTGGGCTGCCTCACTGGCAGCGGGGCTACCGTGGCATCGCCATGTAATTCCTAGGGCAAAAATAGGAGACGAAACGGTAATTTACATGTGCCAACAACTACATTAAAATTCCTACACAAAAGTCCTAGTCATGTCCGTACAGTCCCGTAGTACACGCGGAGCAATTATCACTACGATGACTGCTATTCCTGATGTAATTTTCTCCTACGCTAACCAGTGCTGAAAATTACCGCAGGTACGGTCTCGTTTTCAGAGCTGATTCCCCTTGCCGGGCTTCTGTCGCGTGCTGTCTTTCCACAGTACCAGGTTCTCGAGCAGCCTAATCTAGGGCTCTCTGAGAACGCTGGTGCCCTTAGCAAAGCGTGCTAGGGCTTTGAAGAAGAACGCCGGGGGGTAACCCCAGCGTAGGAGCTCGTATTTAAGTGCCAGAACCGCAGGACCAGCGTGCTTTCGCTGTTCGCCATCTGCTGAATGCGGTGAAGACAACTGATTATAGCACTCATCTTTGCCCGCTTTTCAGTCTTGAAAGCAGCGGTGTACCAGTCTCTGTTGCACTTCGCCCATCCGGACTTCCAGTCGTTCTTGATCTTTGGCTCAAGCAGGAACCGGGTCCTCCCAGGTACAATCGTAAGCTTTGATCCCACGAAGTCAATGGTGTTTGAACCGTCGTCCGTGCGGACCAGCGATAGCTTCTCTCCATAGCAACTTCCGAACTTTCTTAAAATCTCTCGAGCCATGTCGACGGAGCTTTCCTTTCTTCGGTTACATACTACTGCCAACATCGCATCGTCCATGAATCTTACCCCATGGACAAGCTTCCGGTCACTTCCCAGTGATCTCAAAAAACTCTCCTCGTACTTCGCACAAAGTATGCATGCCAGTGGGGGACTGGAGTTCTTCCCCATTGGCACACCGATAACCTGCTTCAGCATCTTTCCTCTGCACTTGGTGTAGGTATGCTGCAGCTCGAAGGAGATGAAACTCCGGATGTAGGTGAAAGAAAACTTGCGGTAACCTTTCCCGTACGTCTTCCTCCCGAGAGTAACTTGTTTCCTTCTCTTGCACACCGTGATCTTCTGAAACCCTTTCTTCTCCCATTCCCCCAACAGCCAGTTGAGTGCTCCCATGATAGCTGAGTGCGGGAGTGATGTAACCATCTCCTTAATGTCGAATCCTTCACTGATAGTCAATGTGTCCTTGCCATACTGCTGGAGTTTCGTCTCTGCCTTCTTCAGGTTTTGCTTGAGTCTGGCGGTAGCAGTGAGGTTAAAGTGCATCGCTCCACGTAGCTTCTCGAGCAATAAGTTGAGTGCCCTCGCAATCCAATGACTGCCCGTCGTCGTGGGGTCGCTGCAAGCAGGCGCAATGGGCCGCCATTTCTCCAAATCTTTGTGTTTGGGTAGCACGTAAGCATTGCCAAACCTCCCCTTCGGATTCCAATTAACCAACTTGTGCAGGCCCTGATTTTCAAAATCAGTCTTCGTTTCCTTCATGATCACCGCTTCGCTCCTGCTAACTTCATCATATGCTACGTTCCAAGTAAATAGTTTATCCAGACCGTGCTGGTATGTCGAGGGACACCTCAGCACGAGGTCTCCCGTGTTCCTGTCCACTTGCGTGACGATCAGGTCCCTGAACTTGTTCTTGACTGCAAGGACTATCCCTTCGTCGGCGCTACAATGCTGATCTCGCTCCCCTGAGAAACAATCTGCGATTTGGAGATCCGACAGCTGCTCGCCTAGTTGACCATTCAGCACAGAAGCGAGGCCCGATTGTAGGCCGCTGCTGATTTCCTCTTTCGTTGTCTCGATTTTAGGCCGGACCACGTTCTTTCCGTTCAGCACCAAGGCCGGCAGTCCTGGGATATCACCTATCCTTGTTAGTACATGCCCCTTGACTGCGGGTAAGTCATAGTGCTTGCAAGTGTACAGCGACTCCGGCATCTTACTGTGCTGCTTGTAGTTACATAGGATTTCGGCTACATTCCTGTTTCTCCTCCAGACTATTCTCGATTTCCTCCTGACGATCCCCGCGATAGCGGGATGCAGCCCACAGCTTTCGATTTTCGTGATCAGGACATTTCTGATGCCGCTCTTCCTCACTTCCTTACTATATCTGATTTTGACTGTCATTCGCTTTCGGATGTTCACCCCGGCTCTCCTTCCCACTACCTTACCTAGGAAGTCCCTGATCGTCTTCCTCTTTTCCTTCTCCTTGAATGACCCAGCACAGTTGTACAGGTGCATGAGTTTGTTGATGGATAGGAGCGATAGTTCCTTCCGTTTGAAGGGCATCTCCAGTAACTGCCGCAAGTAACCCTTCCCTCTGTCTCTGGCGTTCTGCGTGAGGATGATGGGGGCGATCCAGAAATCACCCCCCTCTTCGAACCAGGTTTTTGAGTGGGACAAGGCAATCTTCCCCACTTGAGTTACGACAGTCGAAGTCCCGAACATTTTCCTGACTAACGACCAGTCTTCTCCCCAAACCTGACCACCGGCGCTATGAATCCGGATCTGTTTCTTCCCTTCCTTATGGGCTGAGTACAGAACAGTCCGTAGGCTAGTGTTACCTAGCGAGTAACTACCCGTCCGGAAGACAATAACGCGAGTTCGCTTCTCCACAGTATCTACCCTATCTTTGCCAGCCTTTGCTTTCCTTTCCCTCCTACCTGGCTTCTTCTTGGGATTACCTTTCAATCCCGTCCCTAATGTGTTAAGGGACGGAGAGAACCTCCTGATGAGCGTCCTTTCCAGGCTTTCCAACCCACTAACTTCTGAAGTGGCGATGGGAATAACAACGTAATTGTTCCAGCTAAACCTCCTCAGCCATCTATACAGTAGCGGTGCCCTACCTTCTGTGCCTGACTCCGTACATCTAACATGCTCTCACCATCTTTCCGCGGCGCCTCTAATGGATTTGCCGACGTAAGCCTTCCTACATCATGGCGAAACGAGACAATATACAACCGGTTGCCTGAAGTCACTCCAACTCCAGCTTCGTGGCACTACGTCCAAGAACTTTCTCGCCCACGGAATATGGCCCACTAACGTTAGTAATATCGTGCAAGCGGTACACGCCTTCTCTGTGACCAGTCTAAGTTTCGAGAACCCTGTGCCCCAGATTGTCTCTCTTAGTGACAGGAGAGTGACAATATAAGCCCAGATGAGCTTTGTTGGGGGTGCACACCGTCATTGAACCTGAATGTCTTCAGGCTCATAGGTCTCGTCCAGCTGCTCGATGTCTTCGCCCCATGCTGCTCTGTTGAGAAGCTCCCGTACACCTTGTTCTTTAGAAACATAGGTAATATCTCTCGCCTCGCAAAGCTTCTTTACCTCTCGCCATTCCTTCGCCATCAACCTGGACCTAATATCCAGGATGTTATCTACCAGGCTCCCATTACCGCCCGATGCTGGGTACTCTTTACCCACGGAGCTGTTCTTCACCGGCGTGCTGGTCTTCCGCCTGAGGCTCTTCTCATAGTCCTCTCTTGACATAACTCGTGCTTCCTCCTCCTAGTCATCCGGTGCTGCGTAGTTCCTCGCTATTCATTTCCCTCTTGCTTTCGTCGGTGGTACTTTCGCTCCATCATCCGTCAGGACTTCTTCCTCCGTAAGGTAAGTATCGAGTCCGTTCGCAATCGCCTCTCTACCCCGTTTCGGAGTCCTGGCGTTTACAGCTAATGCCATCTGGATTTCTGTTCTTATCTCCGCTCGGAGATTCCGTAGGTCCCTTGAAACTGCAGCAATCGTTCTCAGCTCCGCCTCCTCAATTTCCTATCTCTTCGGTCGCATTCCTCCGACATCATCCTTCGAATCTTCTCCTCTCGCCTCTCTTCTTCCATTTGCAGCTTTCTGCGCTCCGCTTCCACCCTTCGTCTCTCCTCTTCCACGTTTTTGTTCTCCTCTTTCTCCATTTCCTTCTGCATCTTGTAATCTGCCCATCTCACCACTCGGTTTATGCTATCTTCATTCTCCTTTCTTGACTGCCAGTACTTCGCATTGTTGGTGAAGGTGCCTTGCCCCTTCCCCACTGGGCAGTCTCTCGCCATGTGACCAGCCTGGTTGCAGTTGAAGCAGATAATCGAGCTGCTTACCCCGCCAGCTCCGGTCCCTACATTGCCCACTGACGCCATGCTGTTGCTACCCGACGTACAGTAGCTGGTTCCCACGAATCCCGTCTAGTATCAGCAACTACCGCAAACGATTGCCATTGAGAATTGGCGTGGCTATCTCGCTGTAGCCCTTGTCTCGCCGTTGCCTGCAGCCAATCTCGCCGTTCCTGCAACCTTGCTTGAAAACTCTCGTGAAGAAACTCGTGCAGGAACTCGTGAAGAACAACGACCTGTCGAGTCGTCGACACAGCCACCAGACGCTTGCCACTGAGAATTGGCGCGGCTATCTCGCTGTAGCCCTTGTCTCACCGTTGCCTGCAGCCAATCTCGTCGTTCCTGCAACCTTGCTTGAAAACTCTCGTGAAGAAACTCGTGCAGGAACTCGTGAAGAACAACGAACTATCCAGTCGTCGACACAGCCACCAGTGTGAGTATCTCCTCTCATCCGGTTACCATGCTACACAGAATAGTGGAAACAGTGGCCAAACTGCCTTTCGTACACGCTTTGAATGCTCGTCAATACAGAACAGCACATACTCATCTCAGCACACGCGCACATTCCCCGACGCGTTTCGATCGGTTGCGCTCCGATCATCTTCAGGGGGCTAACCACACACCCTCGCCTTGCGGCCCACCAGCCAATCCTTCCTTCTGAGAACTGAGGGCCGATC